AAAAAAAAAAATGTACAAAATGATGTAAAAATAAACTATTATATTAAAAAAAAAAGAGTCAGCCATCAACTGAGATGGGAAAAGGCACAAAATGATGTAAAAAAAAAAAACTATTATATTATTAAAAAAGAAAAAGAGTCAGCCAATCCACATCTGTTTTGTGTATGGTGTAAGAGTTAAAAGACTATCTTTCACATTTTTAATGGGTGGAGAGAAATCAGGAGAAAAATAACATTTCCGGGCATAAAAACAACACAAAGTAAAATTTCAGTGTCTATAAATAAAGTTTTACTGGAATATAGTCCACTCACTCACCTAGTGCTGTTGGCTACTTTCACACTATGACAACAGAGACCAAGTAGTCACAAGAGGCAACAAGGCCCCCCAAATCCTATAGCCCTTAATCACCTAGCCCTTTACAGAAACATCTGCCCGCGTTGCTACAGATCATTTCTTTTTACTTATATTTGAGTTCGCTAACTCTGTGTTCAAATGTGTCTAATCCGTTGCTAACTCCTTTGAGTTTTTAATGTGGGTCACTGAATATTTTCAATTCTAGAAGTTTTCTTTCCAATCTTTCTTTTGGTTCTCCCTATCTTTTACATTTTATACTTCCTTATGCCACGTACATAGTTCAATTTATCTTTTATTTTCTTAGATACAGTATATATAATTGCTTTATAAATTGTGTCTGGTAATTCAAATTTCAGAAGTCTTTGTGGGCTCTTCTCTGTTGTCTGTTGCTTTTGTATGGTTCTCACCACTGGAGCCTCTCTGTGTGCTTAGTTATTTTCTATCTGCTGTGCATGTTGTTTCAGAGGATCTGTATTTGCTTTTGCTGTAAGCTTGGCGTCACTGCAGTTTGAATACCTTCAAGTGTGTTGCTGGATCACCTGAGTGACAAGGACCATAGCTGTAAATATCACACGGTCCTGCTTTATTAACTTATTGTCCAGATCCACCCTAAGTTCTGGCAACCTTTCCTACAGACCTGGTTTGAGGTGCAGGTTTAATTCTAGTTTATCCTTATGATGAGTCCTTTCATTCCAGTTTAATGTGGAAAGGATCAAAATAGAAAATACAGAAGAGAAATTAATAGATCCGGAGGACAAAAATGAGAGCCTGGAGGCTAACACTTAGTCAGAGTTTCAGAAGCAGACCAGGAAGACAAAGTAATACAAAGTCATAATTTAAAGAGATAATGCCCGAAAATTTTCCAGAACATATGCATATATTCAAAACAAAATAAATTCTTATTATTTGTATATTTGTGCTTTATAGATTTTTTTTATTCTTTATAAAACCTCAAGAAGTATTATTATCTACCTTTTTCATAAAATTGGGATTCAGAGAGGTGAAGTGAATTACTCTAAGCACAGAGGCAGAATTCAAATCCAGTTCTTCTGATCCAAATTCAGGTCACATACGCCAGAAACAGAACACAATACAAGCAGAGAAGGACTTTATTAGGGGAGTTGGGCTTTCAACACTGCTAAGGAAGTACCCCAGAAGACAGAGTCCTTAATTTGGAAGCTTCTCCCTGGAAGCAAGCCAAAACTTTCCCCGCGTGTCTGTGCTTTCTTCTGAAGAAAGCACTGGACTGGAAAACTCTTTGCAGTAACAGTAAATTGTGAGTTAAATCAAATAAGGCCAAGGCAGTTTCTCAGGCTAAAGACCAAGTTGACTCAAATGGCTCATGGAATGACACACAACAGCCCACTGCAGCCCCCCGGCCAGAACAGCAGGGCAGGGGTGCCCTGATTTCCCTGCTCACACTGCTGAAGCTAGTTTACATGCTGTAGTTAACATGTCCTGGATAACACAGCTTTTTAAGTTCATCAGTGTGATTCAACTTGGTAATTGCTACAGCTCTTCTGTTCTGGTGGCATTTCACTGCCTATAACTTACCCTTGATTTAGCTTCTGCTCAGAACACTAAATTAAAGATTTTCTAAAAGTAAAGTCCATGACTTTCTAGCATAATCAAGTCCCATACCCCAGATGTTAACACGTGGACATATTGACTTCGTATGTGGAGGTGTGGCCATCACCATCAGAAGTGGTTCAAGGCATCAAGCAAGAGAGGGAAGAAAGGAGACACAACTTTAATCTTCATGTGTGTCTGGCAGAGGACGGGGATACAGGCATATAAAGATGACTCACAGAAGAAAGGGCCACAGGTAGTTTTGTGATCACTTATTGCACATTAGTTACGGAGGAGGTTCTGTGTAGCTCGTGAACACAAACAGGGACTAGATCCCAATCTTAAAGCACCCTAATCCCAAGGGGAAGTACACAGCCACCCATCCAGCCAGCCAGCCATCCAGCCATGCACCCATGCATTCAACCATCCATGCATCCATCTATCGTATGTCTGTGTGTTCAGTGTTTACAGAGTACTTAACAGTATTGACTAGGTGGTAGGCACAGCAAGAGGGCCAGAACAAGAAGGCGTTCTGAGAGAATTAGATAGCTTATACCCCTATAAATCACTCAACTAAAATAAATCCTTGTAGCAAACCTGTGAGGTAGGCAGGCTCAGCGTAAATGACAACCCGGGATTTGAACCAAGCTTTGCCTGGGTCAGAGTCTGTGTTCTTAATAACTAATAATTATTACATAGTAAGTTAGTCTAGTGAGATAATTGATGAAGGAGGCAGAAAATGTAAAGGAAGCACAGAGGAAGAAGAGGTGGTCTGAGTTTTCCTAGAAGACAAGCTAAGAAAGGAGATTTTAGCAAAGCTAGAGAAACAGGTAAGATTTACCTGGCAGTATGACCGGAATTGAAGTGAGAAAGAAAGACGGGGCTGACCACGATCATGCCAGGCTGCAGAGCATCTCTGAGAGGCCGCTGCTTCCTGTGACTCAACCATCTCCTACTGAAGCCTTTCCTGGGGCCGCACTGTCCCTCAAACTCCTTGCAATGGCTCCTTCTAGAATAAGCTGTATGTGCTAATCAAATTTAAGGCCTTGTGTTTGTACCCAGAATTCCATCCTCTCCAGGGTCCTGCAGACTGTAACAGACTCCACGATATTGTTGAGAGATTGAGGACAGAGGCAATCAGAGCTGATCCTTCAAAGCTGGAGCCCTACTCTCACAGACCTATCTATCAGAGGTCAAGCATGTTATAACTCTACTCACAGTTTAGAGTCCAGCTTCAGGAGGAAGCCCAGCCGATCATACTCTGAAAAAGAAAAGCAGAAAATATCACTAAGGTCAAGTCACTGTCTACTTGCGGCTTGTAATCTCTGGACCTAGAAGGCAGGGACAGATATAGCTTTCAAGAGCAAAGCCAAATCCAGAAGCTGCAACTAAATTAAGTCCTAACACTCTCACTGGACACCTGTCTTGTAAAGAACCAGGGTGAGTGCCAGGTATTTCCACGCCTGGCAGGCCAACCAGGCCTGTGCTGCTATGTGACTGCCTCCGGGTATTAATGTAGCACCTGACACTGACGTGTCATAAAGCACACCCTGGTCCCTGGAGAAGTAAGAGGTGGGAGCAACCACCGCTTCCTCTGAGCTGTAAGCACACTTTCCCTAAATCAGCCACGTTAGCCATGGAGTGAAGATGAGGCCTCAAATCCATGCAATGATCCTTTGTGGCAATGACAAAGACTCAACAGAAAAATAAAATTTAAAAACAAATTGGTGAGGTAATTGCAACGAGTGATAAGTCATTGAAATTTTTATTTAAGTTTTTTATACCTTGCTTGTTCATATATTCACACGGTGAAGCAGTTTTACAAAACTGTATGAAGTACTAGAATTTTAAAACGAGGCAACCTGGGATCTAAAATGGAGAACAGCGTAAGGAATAACATGTAGCCAGGAGAAGAACAACAAAAATGATATCTAAACGTCCCATGTGCTTGCTGGTGGAAAATTACCATAAAGGGAACTTGGGGGAAAAAAAATTGCAGGTCTATCCCCAAGACTTCTCACAGCTAACAAGCACTAAGTGCAAAGCACCGACGTAACAGTTTTCAGTATCCACAAAACAAAGTAGGAGAATCACAGCTGTTCCTGCACAAGGAAAATGAGAGGCGTGTCATGGACTTGTTTCTCACAGCTGTCCGCCTACTGGCACAGGAGGATGCGAGGGGACCAGAGAATGTGAGTAGCTGCTATGAAGGCAGCGCTCAGCTGGCCCAGGTTACCACGACCAAGCAACTGGATGGAGAAGAACAAGCAGCAGGATCTCGACGAACTTATCAGTCTTGATAAGCACAAATGGCCAGGCCAGGGAAGTTCCATGTACTGACAAGCACTTCACAGGGGCTATTCTGTAAGGCTAAGTCAGGCCAGACGTGTACACTTCACAAGCAGCTGAACTGTGTGCAAAATTAGCGAAATTAATTTCTCTCCTTAAAATTAAAGATGCCAACCAGGACACACAATTCAACAGAAGGTTTGCCTCTCTAGAGAATGTGCTTGGAGAAATGGAAATCTTTCCTCAAAACAATTCTGGTTAATGGATGATAAATGGATGACAGACTTTAAGATAGCAGGAACTTATAAAAATCAATACAAAAAAAGGCTTCCATTAAAAAAACAAACTGAAAAAATTTGCAAAAAACTACTCTTCGAATAGTTCCATTTCATCATTCCATGAAAAAGAAAACTTCACTAACTTGCCAAATACCTGTCAATTTCCCCCCATGTGGTCTGACCGCAGCATTCCTGCTACTGCTTCGAGACAGTCAGGACTGTTTTGTACACACAATGGACCCATGTTTGGGTGGGTTCCTCCCAGAGAGGCCAGAGAAGGTTTTCCTCTTGCTGCAAACACAAATGTCAGAGGCCAAGCAAGAACGTATCATCGATGAGGGAAGTAGAAGGACCGAATGCCCTCTCACGGCTGCCCACACCACTCACACAACAACCCTTTCCAACTGCCTTGCTTTCATCACATAGGCTCAGCAGCGTTACCATAATTACACGTATGGGCTATTTTCCGATGGCATTTTAAGTTTTGTCAAACACATACACAACGTATTAAGCATGGAAGAACACTGTATTTTTAAAGGAATCAGGTCTCCCTCCATGGCTCTTTTGGACTATCTGCTGTTCTCATTCTCTTGCTGAGACCCGAACAGCACGGGTGTTTCCCTTCACTCTGTAAGAAAAGGTAACTGTGTGAGTCCGAGGATGATAGATGGCAGCGACTGGCTGGCTCAGGTCCGCGCCAGGAGGGCGTGGCGCCCATCTGGAGACCAGGCCGCGCCGTGGGGGGCGGCCGCCACCGGCTCCAGCTAATGATCCGGGGCAGCAAGGCAGCCCTGTGTTGTCACAGCTTTTGATTTTTTGCCAAGGCAAGAATCTGAGTCTTTTAAGGCTCAATCTGTAAATACTGGCAACAAGTTTGAGAAAACTGAAGATGAGGAGGAGCAACCAAACGCGTCCATGGAGTCAGCTGGCGGGCTCAGAGCTGGCCGAGCCTGTTTCCTCCTGGGGCTGCACACAGTAAGTACTCAGTAAACGTGTGCTGACTGCTGTTATCTGGACTATTTGGTCAAAATGGTCGTAAGTCCAAACCAAACTGGTCCACCAGGATGCTAAAAAGAGAACCTTCCAGTCTCGCCTTGAAGTGATAAATGTCAGATGCTAAAGTGTGGTGCTAGACTAAGATGCAGATTGTCAAAGGAAATATCTGAACATGCTCGTGACAAATAAAGGCCTCCCTGTGGAGGTTAACTGTAAAACAAGATTATGGAGAGACGATTTGAAAACTTTCCTTGGGGAGAGCCGGTATGAGCCCACCTCCCTGTAGGGGAGGCGCAGGCAGGAGTCTCTCCAGCAAGCCTGGTGGAGCAAGTCAACACACAGCCCTTAAACTATGGGGACATGGTGGATGGCCAGCAACCCTCTCCCAGACCCCACTACCCACAGCAGAGAGGCTGGTCACAGGAAGCAGCTGCACTGGAACTGCCTGCACTCCCAGAATCTGCTCAGAAAAAGATGCACAAATGAATTCATAGGGGCTCTTCCAGATGTTGCAGAGATGTGCCGGGGGGGGGGGGGCGGGGAGCAGTCAGACTCTTGGCAGGAGAAGCCCAGGGCAGGCAATGGAAGTCCCACGAACTGTAGAGGGAGTGAGGGGCCAGGCTCAGGCAAGACCATGACCCACCATGACCCACATCAGGGGAGCTACAGAGAATGTGCCCAAAACACCCCCAAGAGCACCCCACAAGCTTTGAACACTTGCCAGTTTAGAGTGCCAACACGATCTTTTGTCTTTTCTGCTCACATTTTCGCCCTCCCTTTTTCACCAATTCCAGAAAGTCCAGAAATAGCATTGGCAACTGGAGACAAACCAAAGCAGGCACGCACTCTGCCCTGGTCTGGCTCTCACTGGTTAAGTCCTGATATGGGAGGGAGGTCACTGTAGCTTTGAGTGAATTGAAAGCTATGCCTATTACACAAGGCTGGGCAGTCTAATTTTGAAATTGATGATTCAATGTGACCATAGGACTCGTATTACCTCAGACATATCAAAATTTTCAACTTCCAAAACTGAAAAATTAGGTGTCTGATAGTATCCCAATGTTTCCTGCATGTTCAATATACCGGCTGCACTGACTTAGCTGCAAATAAGACAATTTAATGCCCCGGGTGCAGAGGGCTTCAGGCACCATCAGAACTGACAGGGAGGTGTACGGCCTCTTACCATCCCTGACAAACTCCGCTTCCAAGCTGGGACACATGGCCGCCAGTCAGTCCAGACAGACATCACCTACTACTGTGTAGGGGCCCAGAAGTGGACTCTCCGCTCCCAAATGGCAAAAATCCCAGGGTTGGCCTACCTTGTGCCAGCATCTCACCCCTGTCTCAGGGGGCCAGGAGCTGGGTTTTTACAGTAGCCAGGACCAGTCTGTCCCCTCACACAATCCTAACTTGCAATTATCGGTGTCTCTGGCTGGTGTTCCATAACTGTGCCGATGAATGGACAGAGTGACTGACTGAGCGAGGGAGCCCGACAAGCAGCCGCGGACCTGGTCTCTGCCGTCCTCCGTGCTGGCTGGGTGGCAGCTCTGGCCGCTCCCACGCACCCGCGGGGCCACCTCTGCAGGCGCTTCCCTTGCTCCGGTGGCTCCCAGTGTCCACGTACCGTGGCGCAGCTGCCTGCCGACAGCAAGGCTGCCTTGCTGTCTTCCCCCACATCTCTGTGTTTTACTCCAGAGTTCCCTTTTGATGACTCCAAATGTGCCAAGGTAATGCCCTCCTGTCATTTACCAAAGCCTAAAAGGCAATCTTCTCCACAGAGACTAGTTCTAAAGCTCCTGAGTAACCACGAGGGCCCCACCTCCACCCACTCAGGGGTCAGACCTGAAACCACTCTTCTCTCAGGCGAGCGACACATTCCGAAGCCATTACTGCTGGTCTAATCTGTGGTCGGTGTCTCATGGAGATCCCCGACTTGTTGACAAGCCTATGCATAATTTTTAGGAAATATAACCCAGGACAGAGAGCCCTCAGGAAGGCACAGGCACGAGGCCCCGGAAACACAAAGGCGGAGCTCACCACAGCTGGTCTGGCGAGGCCGCCAGCCCCAGAGCACCTCAAGGGACACAAATGTGTTCTTGAAGCTCCTTGGGGTTCAGCTTCCACAGTGGAGATGCTGTTTCGAGTACACTGACTCTTAGGGCCAGTTAACCTCTGGGGAAGGTGGCAGCGAAGCCTGGGTCTCACCAGCAGCCCTGATTCCAGACCTGTGATCAGACAGAAGACTCTGGGACTTCCAAGCCGGCCTGGCAGGCACGTGCTGATGTGCACACACAGCGCTCCCAGCACCAGAGGTTCCTCTGCTCTCAGCGGACAAAGCAGCAAGTCCACAATTTTGCAGTAAAAGAAAGGTGTTAAGTTCAGCATTTCCCTGCCTGGCAAGCCAAGCAGCACTAAAACCCCTGACAAGTGCCTCTCGCCAAGCTTCAAGTGGGAAATGGCAAGGGTGGTGCAAATCCCTGCTCTTTTTCTCCTGCACCTGCACCAAGTCAAACTCACACCTGTGAAGATGTGAGTGCATTTCAGATGCCCAAAGTCTTCGAAATTCACCCTTCACTGTCCACTGCCGTTTCAAGGGGACAGGTAGGTGTTCTGATCTCACAAAAATTCCTAGAAGATTCAGACTGAATATGAAAAAAAAGGAGACCATACACCAAAGTGTAAGGCACCTAACGAGAGC